GCGACAATCTCAGCTCATTGCAATATCCACCTCCCGGGTTCAAGCGATTCCCCTGCCTCAGCCTCCTGAGTAGCTGGGACAACAGGCGCGTGCCACCATGCCTGGCTTATTTTTTTATTTTTCGTAGAGATGGGGTTTCCCCTTGTTGGCCAGGCTGGTTTCCAACTCCTGACCTCAGGTGATCCTCCCGCCTTGGCCTCCTGAAGTGCTGGGATTACAGGCATGAGCCACCACACCTGGCCAATAAAAATATTCTTTCAGCTGGGCTCAGTGGCTCAGGCCTGTAATCCCAGCACTTTGGGAGGCCGAGGTGGGCAGATTATGAGGTCAGGAGATCGAGACCATCCTGGCTAACAAGGTGAAACCCGGTCTCTACTAAAAATACAAAAAATTAGCCAGGCGTGGTGGCATACACCTGGAGTCTCAGCTACTCCAGAGGCTGAGGCAGGAGAATCACTTGAATCTGGGTGGTGGAGGTTGCAGTAAGCCAAGATCAAGCCACTGCATTCCAGCCTGGGTGACAGAGAAAGACTCCATCCCAAAAAATATATATATATTATTTTAAGAACAATGGCAAAATAGCATAGAAAATACAAATTTCTAAAAGCTGTTTCATCTGAAACCAAGACAGGTTGAAAAAGACAGACAGACAGACACAAACACACACACACACACAAATACAAATGTATATGTATACATATATTGGGAAACACACTCAGCCATTGTCTCCTTAAACATTACTTGTATTATTTATTTATTTTATTATTCATTTTGGAGACAGAGTCTCACTCTGTCTCCCAGGCTGGAGTGCAGTGGCGCATTCTCGGCTCACCGCAACCTCCGCCTCCCAGGTTCCAGCAATCCTCCTGCCTCTGCCTCCCAAGTAGCTGGAATTACAGGTGTGCCTCACCATGCCTGGCTAATTTTTGTATTTTTAGTAGAGGCAGGGTTTTACCAGGCTGGTCTCAAACTCCTGACTTCAAGTGATTCGCCTGCTTCAGCCTCCCAAAGTGCTGGGATTACAGGCACTTTCCCTTGCTTTTTTCCACTCTCAGAATGTCATGGAGTTGGAGGAGCACCTAATTCTTTTTTAAACAGTGTGTGGAGTTGTTATCCTCACTGCTTTCAGAGTCTTCTCCTGGTTCCGCCCACCCTTCAGACCATGGCCAGAGTCGTCTCTCAATGTAGTGTGGTCCTGTGCCTCTGCAGGATGTAAGCCTCCCTTCGTTCTCCCCACCTATGGGCAAAGTTCAGAACTCAAAGCTACTTTCACTGGGGTCCAGCTGACCTCATCCCCCCGGTTTGCACCTCTCTCTACCTTTTCTGCAACCCGTGTTGTATCTTGTGTTTGAGCTGAGTTCACTGCTTTATCCTGAGCACTTGCCATTTTTCAAACAGGCTTACATTTCCACACCTTTCTTGATTCTTTTTTCTCTGTTAGGAATGCCCATAGGTGTGGTGATGTTAAAGTGCTGTTTCAAGAGTTTCTTTAATGGGCCAGGTGCAGTGGCTCACACCTGTAATCCCAGCACTTTGGGAGCCCGAGGCAGGTGGATCACCTGAGGTCAGGAGTTCGAGACCAGCCCAACCAATATGGTGAAACCCTGTCTCTAATAAAAATACAAAAATTAGCCAGGCATGGTGGCATGTGCCTGTAATCCCAGCTACTAGGGAGGCTGAGGCAGGAGAATCACTTGAACCAGGGAGGCAGAGGTTACAGTGAACCAAGATCGTGCCATTGCACTCCAGCCTGGGCAACAGAGCAAGACTCCATCTCAAAAAAAAAAAAAAAAAAAAAAAAAAAAGGAAGCCAGGCGCCATGGCTCATGCCTGTAATCCTGGCACTTTGGGAGGCTGAGGTGGGTGGATTACCTGAGGTCAGGAGTTCAAGACCAGCCTGGCCATCATGGAGAAACTCCATCTTTAAAATAAAAAGAAAAAAAAAAGAAGAGTTTGTTTAACTAGCTGTCTCCTTAAATCTTAGCTATCTCTTAGGACTTGGCTGAGTTGTCGCCTTTACTGTGAAATCTCTGAACCCTCCCTGGAGCTACTCCTTCCTGGGCACTCATGGAGTCCCTGTAATGGCACTGAGCATTGTTACACATCTGTCTTCCCTTAGAGTTGGTGCTATGTGGCAGAGTCACTTGTGGAACTCCCTAAAAACACACACATCCAGCCTTTACCCCCATAAATGTGTTCTGTAGGTCTGGGTCTGAGTCCCAAAGAGTTTCTAATCCATTGCCTGAGTTAAGCATCAGTGGGTAGATGGGCTCCTCTATGGAAGGGAAGCCTCTGATTCATCTGCCCAAGGTAGGTAGGAAAACAGGAAGCATCAAAGAATGTGCTGAGGCTAGAAAGGACATGGGTTCAGATGGAAGCAGGTGATGACTGAGTGGCTGAAACTTTGATTCTCCAGCCTGTTGGGAATGGGTTCAAGTTGACTGCTTTTGGGAGCGTGGTGACATTAAAGTGTTGTTTCAAGATTAATCCAGCTGAAGAACCCAGCAGAAGTGTGGAGAAGAGGGAGAAGGCAGGAGGACAGCAGATGGCGGCTGTAGTTGGATTGTGTACCCCAAAGCTCATGTATTGGAAACTTAATCCCCAGGACAGCCATGCTGAGAGGTGGGGACAGGAGGAGGTGACTCGTGTTATTGCAGGAGTGGGTTCACTGTACAAGCAAGTCTGTCCCTTTCTTGCTGTCTCTTACCGGTGATAACTTCCGTTGTCTTACGGTACGGCAGGAAGGCCCTCAGCAGATGTGACCCTGGATCATGGACTTCCCAAGCTCCGGAATCACAAGCCAAGATGAAGACAATGGCTGTGGCAGTAACGCAGGCACATGCTAAAATGTGCTGAACTTGGGAGTGGGACCAGAAGGGAAGTGGATACAACTCACGTTGCAAGGGAAGAGTCCACAGGGCTGGGCAGCAGGCCGCCTGCGAGTGGCAGGATGGGGAGTGTGGGAGATGTTTCCATGGCTCATTTGTGTGATGAGGCCCTGGCCCTGGGTCTAGGGTGGACGCTGAGTCACACATGTGGCAAAACCAGCCCTTTCAGGTCAACAACAGAAAGACCTAGTTACTTGAGCTGTTCCATATACCCAAGTGTGGCCATTTCCTCCTGAGATGGTGGCGGGACAGGGAAAGGAGGGCTTTGTGCATTACACCATCTCGGGCATTCTAGGGCCTCCTGGAATGTACAGGAAGATAAAGGGAGCGGCCTGTCTCTCCTAGCTCCACAGCCCACCAGCTCTCCTAGGATCATCAACTTTGTCTTCGTTTTACTATTTGGAATAGTGGCAACTTTATGTATATGCTTATCTTCTGGTTTCCTAGCCTTGCTCTTAAATCACCATTTGATGTGTACCGATTGGGCAGAAATGTGTCTTTTTTAATCTGTTCTGCAGAGATGTTTGTAAGGTTTCTCAGCAGAGGTTTTCCTGGTAATGCTTGAAGTCTTGAATGGCAGGGTTCCCCTAAAGGTGTTCAATGCTGATTGGACTTTCTCCACAAATGGTCATGTCTCTGTTAATCAGCAAGAGGCTTATTCCTATGAGTCTTCTTTGGTCTTCTAGAAGGTTTTGTTGAACTCTCTAACACACTGTTCAGGGGCTGGGCTGGATTTCCTGCTAAAAGGGTCAGAGGACCAGGCATGGTGGCTCACGCCTATAATCCCAGCACTTTGGGGAGGCTGAGGCAGGCAGATCACTTGAGCTCAGGAGTTCAAGACAGCCTGGGAAACATAACAAAACCCTGTCTCTACAAAAAATAAGCTGGGTGTGGCAGTGCACGCCTGTAGTCCCAGCTACCCATGAGGCTGAGGTGGGAGGACTGCTTGAGCCCATGAGGTCAGGCTGCAGTGAGCTGTGATTTTGCCACTGCACTCCAGCCTGGGTGACAAAGTGAGACCTTGTCTCCACAAAAAAGCGGGGTAGGGGGCGGTCAGAGGACCATATGACATTAAGGGGCATACAGGGGACCGTTTCAGTGTCTTTGCTCCTGGAAGTAAAAACGGGAATTTCCTTGTAGTATTAGCTTGGGGCGCTTTACTTTTTATGTACAGCCTGCAGTAGCATGAGGCTTCCACAGAGTCTCCGGTTTTGGAGATGTCAGCCAAGTTCCCAGTGGTAACGTGTTAGCTCTTGTCACCTCCCCACAAGTCTGAACTGTAACGGAGCTGGAAAAGGAACCACAGTTTGTGGTGTCTGAGGCAGAAAAGACAGGGCAAGCCTGAGTGTGAAAGAGCTTGGAAGCGTAGACCCTCAGTGCAGAAGATGCCACATTACTGTCATATTTCCGGCACCAAAGTAATCTTGAATTTACCCATCTTTCCTTGAGATCATTCTAGCTGGGCATGGTGACTTGTGCCTGTAATCCCAGCTACATAGGAGGCCGGGGCAGGAGGATTGCTGCAGCCCAGGGGTATAGTGCCAGCCTGGACGACATAGCAAGACTCCATCTCTGAAAAAAAATTTAATTATTCTGGCCGGGTGCGGTGGCTCAAGCCTGTAATCCCAGCACTTTGGGAGGCCGAGGTGGGTGGATCACGAGGTCAAGAGATCGAGACCATCCTGGTCAACACGGTGAAACCCCGTCTCTACTAAAAATACAAAAAAATTAGCCGGGCATGGTGGCGTGTGCCTGTAATCCCAGCTACTCAGGAGGCTGAGGCAGGAGAATTGCCTGAACCCAGGAGGCGGAGGTTGCGGTGAGCCGAGATCGCGCCATTGCACTCCAGCCTGGGTAACAAGAGCGAAACTCCGTCCCCCCCCCCAAAAAAAAAAAAAAATTTAATTATTCTTATGTCTTCAGAATGGTTAACAGTGTAAAGGAGAAGTGGCAATCAGCATCCTCAAACCAGCTGACTTAGTGTTTCCCAATCCCCTGTATCCTAATGGTCACGTCTGAGAGTGGAGGTGGACCTCAGCCGTGTTTTTGAGGGATTCGGGCATTTGACTGTCTAGGCTCACTGACCTTTGTCATTTGTGTTTGTGTCTCTAGAAGTGAGCTGTTGCTGCAGAATGGGCTGCTGGCTCCTGCCCTGCTTCCTGTGATCGAGCTGGGCCCTGAGGAGTCTGTGGGGATGCCTGTAACCTACCAGAAATCAGACGCGTCGGACATGAACTCCGACACGTCCCCCAGCTGCAGGCCCCGGGCCTTCAGCAGAGGCGGCAGCTTGGAGAGTCGAAGCAGCAGCTCTCGGTCCAGAAGTTTCACTTTGGTGAGTGACAGTTTTTCTTTCATGCTTTCCTGTGCCTGGGTTGGTGGATTTCGCCTCAGTTCCTCTCCCTTAAAGGAGTATCTTACCAGATCTTTTTGGGTCAAACCAGCTTGGTGTTTTGGAATACTTCTTTGTGAAATGGCTCTTTATTTTTAATCATCTTAAATTTTGCACAAATATAGAGCACCACCCATAGCCATGGAGCAAATCCCTTGCTGTGGCCAATAACTCATGGCTGCTTAGACCCAGGCAAGAGCAGGCCCGAGGCAGAAACCATCCCAGGGCTGAGGAGCCCATGGGATAAACACAGCTCCCTCTCAGGTCTCACTCCCGTGCAAGTACAGATGCTTTTCTGTCCTCCTGTCTCAGCATCCAGACCCTTGCCTAGCTTTGGGAACTTTACAGAAAGAGTTTGCACAGTTAAGAGGATCTTGTACCTTCCCCGGTGAGGACATTGATCTTTCAGGGTGGGGGAGACCATGACACTCCTAGAGGGAGGAACCCTGGAGAGAATCGGCCCCCCGGGCCTCAATAGGAACTGTCGGGAGCACCTCTCAGGTCCTCTCCTTCCGGTGGGAGCACCAGTTTCCCTCAGATACACTGAGCCATAAAACTAGCACCAGTTATGCTGAAGATAGATATACATGGCATAGGGGTAGTTACTGATAATCACGGAATTTTCTAGACCCCCACTTGCATATTTTCTTTTTTTAGACCATTATGGTAATATGTGATAAATATTATTTGATTGGCTGGGCATGGTGGCTCACACCTGTAATCCCAACATTTTGGGAGGCCAAGGCGGGTGGATCACCTGAGGTCAGGAGTTCAAGACCAGCCTGGCCAACATGATGAAACCCCATCTCTAATAAAAATACAAAAATTAGCAGGGCATGGTAATCCATGTCCTGGCCACCTGTAATCCCAGCTGCTTGGGAGGCTGAGGCAAGAGAATCGCTTGAACCAGGGAGGCAGAGCTTGCAGTGAGCTGAGATCGCACCACTGCACTCCAGCCTGGGTGACAGATCGAGACTCTCAAAAGAAAAAAAAAAAAAAACTTTGATTCACCAAAAGAAAAATATGTAATAAATTACTCTCTGAATGTCTGAGAGTCTAAAAATACTGAAGAATAGAGTTTAAAACTTTTAATTTTTTAAAATAATATAAGGAATTCATTTAAAGACATATTTTTAAGGCAGATGCAGAAACACATACAGATGAATATTCCAGTAATTTGTGGAGTATGTGCTCCCAGGCATAGTTAGGACACAGCCCTGCTCTGGAAGGGTTTTTCCAAAACTCAGCATGGCCAACTGCTCTAGGAGAGTCTGAAACATTCCCTCGCACCCATGGTGCTGGATAAAATCAGGAGTGCTCAGCAGGTGATCTTGGTATTGGAGTGAACACATAAAGCCAATTAAGAGTCAGGGTCTTTGAAGGATTTTCTTGCCTTTCACATTCATTTTCCTGTTGAAGTTGAGGCAAAACTCTGGACAGCCTCTGTGCCGTGGTGCCTCTTGGTAGAGCACCAATGAAGCATCTGCTGTTCTCCTGGAGGAGCCCATGATACTAAGGGTGTCACATGTTTGGAATCTGGGGTGAGAAAGTTGCTTTTGTATCGCCATTCTAATTATACTGGGTCTATTCCTCATAATAACCAACTTAACAATCCCGTGTGGTAGCTCAATGCACGTACTCCAGAGACAGCGAGGGCTGCGTGACCCCTGCAGACATGCCCACCAAGGAGCAGAGCTAATTGTTCTGTATTTAACCTTCTGTCTCTTTGGTGTATGTATAAAAATGTGTGTGATTTATACATTGGCTTAAATATTGAAGCATTATTCCAAGGGTTAAGGACGTAAGACTGGAGCTTCCACTCTCGTGACTGTAGTCCATTCAGAGAGAATAGGTTGCTGCAGATTTGGTTCCAGGCAACAGCTGGGCTTTGTGGGCCCAGCACAAGCCTTGGCTGCTCCCCGGTGAGCTCTGGGGCTGGGAGAGCCTTTAGTTACCACACTGGGACGAGGACGGCACCCTCACTCACTTGGTGACAAGCCTCCGGTGCGGGCTGCCCCAGGAAGGAGGCATAACCTTGATGAATCAGTTTCTTTCAGCCAAGACAATCCCACTGACCACTGAGGGCCGCCTTCAGCTGCGCTTGCAGCAGACAGGGGACAAGGTCCATCCTCCCGGCTGGTGACCTGGCTGGTGCATCACACCAGCTACCACACAAGGCTAGGAGAAAATGAAAAGAGGTTTCTTATGAGGGTCTTAGAAGCAAGCTTGTAAAGTGAATTCAGGGAACTTAGACAACAGCTGTAGAAATACAAGCCTTCACAGAATGTGTGGGGGAATGGCATGCTCAGTTCCACTGTAGAATCTGTGGGCAAATTGCATAATCAGGTCCATTGTAGAATGTGCGGGCGAACGGCATGCTCAGGTCCACTGTAGAATGTGCGGGCTAACAGGAAACTCAGGTTTCCTACTCGGGAGGCTGAGGCAGGAGAATCGGTTGAACCAGGAGGCAGAGGTTGCAGTGAGCTGAGATCACGCCACTGCACTCCAGCCTGGGCGACAGAGCAAGACTCGGTCTCAGAGAAATGCCCAGTACCTCCCACCCGCAAGCAGTGCTGGCGCCGGCTTCTCCTTCCCTGGTGTCTGTTAGTGTCCAGGTGTGGCATCATTCTGTCATCCTGCTGCCACCATCTTGTCTGGATCCGTGCTCCTCCTCCTGTCTCCTTCTCTTATCCGTAGACTTTTAAGTTACTTTTTCTTTGATGCTAAAGATGAGGTGGTGAAAGGGAAACATGCCTTCCTCCTCCGTATTGCACACATTTCTTGATTCTGCCAGTCTTATGGGCATGAGTTTGATTTTAAATTAAAGGATTCCTATTCTACCCAGTTCTTTCCTATTGGATAAATCATCCAGTAGCACTCCTGTGGTGTATGTGATGTCTCTGTCTGTTCCCCGCCGGGCCTGTCCCTGTGTATCAGGTTGAATAATGGAAACAGCATTGTAAAGCCACTCGTAGGATGCCCATAATCAAGTTACATCTGTATGGTGTGTGTTTGGGGTCACAGAATCCTGCTGCATGTCCTGTCTTACTACAGGATGCTGGAGGAGTGTTCTAGTCATGTTTCCTTGCCTTCCACTCAGACCTGTTCACTGTTTGCAGGCATTTTCCTCCAGGGACAGTTACTGAGCTAAGTTTACTTGTCATCTGATTATTTCACAGTTGTGCATTTTCCTTAGAACTAGCAAAATGAGGGCCTGGCGCGGTGGCTTATGCCCATAATCCCCGCACTTTGGGAGGCCGAGGCAGGTGGATCACCTGAGGTCAGGAGTTTGAGACCAGCCTGGCCAACATGGAGAAACCCCATCTCTACGCCTGGCTAAAAATACAAAATTAGCCGGCTGTGGTGGCACATGCCTGTAATCCCAGTTACTTGGGAGGCTGAAGCAGGAGAATCACTTGAACCTGGCAGGCAGAAGTTATGGTGAACTGAAATGGAGGGAAACTCCATCTCAAAAATATATATATATATGTATGTGTGTGTCTGTGTGTGTATATATATATATATATATATGTATGTGTGTGTCTGTGTGTGTATATATATATATGTGTGTGTGTGTGTGTATATATATATATGTATATGTGTCTGTGTGTATATATATATGTATGTGTGTCTGTGTGTGTGTGTATATATATATGTGTGTGTCTGTGTGTATATATGTATGTGTCTGTGTGTGTATATATATATGTATGTGTGTGTCTGTGTGTGTGTATATATATATGTATGTGTGTGTCTGTGTGTGTATATATATATGTATGTGTGTGTCTGTGTGTGTGTGTGTGTATATATATATGTGTGTGTCTGTGTGTGTGTATATATATATGTGTGTGTGTGTGTGTATATATATATATGTATGTGTGTGTCTGTGTGTGTATATATATGTATGTGTGTGTCTGTGTGTGTATATATGTGTATGTGTGTGTCTGTGTGTGTGTGTGTATATATATATGTATGTGTGTGTCTGTGTGTGTGTATATATATGTATGTGTGTGTCTGTGTGTGT